TGTTAGTGTCCTTTTTAATTTCTCTTAAGTGTGACTTGTAGTTTTCAGTGTATAGGTATTTCACTTCTTTGGTTAGGTTTATTCCTAGGTATTTTCATCTTTTTGATGCAATTGTGAATGGAGTTGTTTTCCTGATTTCTCTTTCTATTGGTTTATTGTTACTAAATAGGAAAGCCATAGATTTCTGTGTGTTAATTTTGTATCCTGCAACTTTGCTGTATTCTGATATCAGTTCTAGTAGTTTTGGAGTGGTGTCTTTAGGGTTTTTTATGTACAATATCATGTCATCTGCAAATAGTGACAGTTTAACTTCTTCTTTATGAATCTGGATTCCTTGTATTTCTTTGTTTTGTCTGATTGCCATGGCTTGGAACTCCAGTACTATATTAAATAACAGTGGGGAGAGTGGGCATCCCTGTCTTGTTCCTGATCTCTGAGTAAAATCTTTCAGCTTCTTGCTGTTCAGTATGATGTTGGCTATGAGTTTATCATGTACGGCCTTTATTATGTTTAGGTACTTGCCCTTTATACCCATTTTGCTGACAGTTTTTATCATGAATGGATGTTGAATTTTGTGATCTGGGTTTTCAGCATCTATGGAGCTGATAATGTGGTTTTGTCTTTCTTTTTCTTCATGTGGTGGATGATGTTGTTGGATTTTCGAATGTTGTACCATCTTTGCATCCCTGGGATGAATCCTACTTTGTCATAGTGTATGATCCTTTTGATGTATTTTTGAATTCAGTTTGCTAATATTTTATTGAGTAGTTTTGCATCTACTTTGATCAGGGATATTGGTCTGTAATTTTCTTTTTTGGTGTGGTCTTTGCCTGGATTTGGCATTAGGGTGATGTTGGCTTCATAAAATGTGTTTGGGAGTGTTCCCTCTTCTTCTATTTTTTGGAAAATTTTAAAGAGTATGGGTATTATGTCTTCTCTTTGTGTCTGATAAAATTCTGATGTAAATCTGCCTGGCCCGGGGGTTTTGTTCTTGGGTAGTTCTTTCATTACCACTTCAATTTCTTTTCTGGTAATTGGTTTGTTTAGATGATGTGTTTCTTCCTTGGTCAGTCTTGGAAGGTTGTATTTTTCTAGGAAGTTGTCCATTTCTTCTAGGTTTTCCAGCTTGTTAACATGTAGGTTTTCATAGTAGTCTTTAATAATTCTTTGTATTTCTGTGGAGTCTGTCATGACTTTTCCATTCTCATTTCTGATTCTGTTGGTATGTGTTGATTCTCTTTTTCTCTTAATAAGTTTGGCTAGAGGCTTATCTATTTTGTTT